AGCTGTCGCTGAATGGCATGATGTCCACAACGTCGGACAGATTCTGGCGAGCCATTTCGGTCGCCGGAAGCGGTCACCCCTATACTCTATGAAGTCTGGAACCTCTTTGGTCCACGCTGTCATGGAAAAGTACTTGTTCAGAGAAAAGATGCTCGCTTCTTGCTTTATGGCGCCGGATCCCTTGACCGAAGCGAATAGCCTCCATGATCCCAACTTGGAACACGTGTTGCAGGACAAAGAGAGGTTGTATCAGTACTTGTTCGGAGATTCCGTGAGAGGAAGCCATGCTTATCAGTCCACTGCGGAGCCTTCAGGTGAGAATGAGTCTGAGAGGAGGAAGAGGGAGAAGGTAAGGAGAGAGAACAAGATGCCATGGATGGATGAGTACTGGGGAGTCCTTCAGCCAGAACCAATATACTCAAGGACTCAAAGGTGGTACGTCATTGATGACTTTAAGGAGGGTGAGGAAATTTGCTGCGATTACTGCCTGTTCTGCAATCCCATAGACTCCGAGTTGAAAGACGATTGCTATGCGGAATGCATCAACGGAGCAGCAAACAGATGCCGTGGGATGTCCGCAGAAGACTACGTCCAGAAGCGATTTCATGCATGTGCTCGATTGCTTCACAACTTCGGCATGGGGCAAACGGTATCTTCTCCCACCATCGTAATCTCCGAGATGAACCCGCACGATGACTTGATGAAGTTTTTACACGAGGCGATGATCATCTTCAATGAGAATCCAGGTTTCCAGAAGGAGATTTCGTTCTTCGGGGGGATCAGGTTGTCATCAACAATGACGGAGAACTTCTTCAAAACGAGGAGAGGACCCAGCATCCATGTGGAAAAGCAGATAATCGGCAACGCCAAGTACTTCCAGGGATCCTATGACCTTGGCAACGTATGCTACACCAAATACCTCAAGACCATACTGGAACCCGATGTATTCCGCACTATATTCGGAGATGATCCCACGGAGGAACGGGTAGGTGACATGGTGGAAGCGCTGCTGGGCATGTTCGAAATTGCTCAACTCTTCAGGCACCTGTTCAGGGGATGGGGTGACATCGAAGCTTTGAGGACGGGATTAGAGGAATCCATCAAACGCGTCACTGCATCGCTGTACGACAGGACAACGTATGAGAACCGAAAGCGATCGATGATTAGAACCATGGACCCGCACTCTGATGAGGCGGCAAACGTGGCGCTGATTCTCGTTCGCATGAGGACTATGCCGCTTCCTGAATTCGACATCGACCACTTCTTCGAAATTGGGAAAGAACCAGAACAGGGAACAGAAGCCACTGACCAGCCCGAGGCCGAAGGTGTCGATATGGAGACTGAATGTGGACAGGAGAAGGAGGAGCAAGATGTTGACATGTCCGACCCGAAGACATCAATACTGCAAGCCATCGACGAATTTGAGAGGAAGATCGGGCAGGCAGAATTCTGCATCCACTGCATGGAGTCGGGACACACAACTCTCAATTGCAAGAAGACCCTTTCATCTTCACCTTCAGTCACCTCGGTATTGAGTGATTGGAAGAAGAGAGTGAAGGGAGAGGTTGCGCCCGACGATGTACCATCTGGACATCCAACCGAGGAGCCTAAGAAGAAGAAGCAGAGAGCATCGCCCACTCCAGATAGGAAGGTCGACAGCGAGTTCAGGCGAAAAGAAATGTTAAAAGCAAGAGTCGTGACAATGTTCGACCATGACGGATTCACCTTGATCGAAAGTGCTGATGGAGTCGAGGGAGGGCCACATTCCTACAATGGGCGGAAGCTTACGGAAGCAGGCCCTAAGGATATGAAAGTGGTGTACGAATTTGTGGAGAAGGCATTTGTGCACTCCAGTTCCCTCACACCAAAGGCATGTCATCACTTCTATCCCCTACCAACACGGAGGGAGAAGGGATACAAGCCGATCGACCCCATGACGATGGTCGGGAAAGTTGAACTAGTACCGATCAACGGAGTCACTTTCGCTGCAAAGAACTCCGACTACGGCAACCACAAGTATCCGACTCCAGACTGTCGAGTACCTGAATACAGCCAAGCGAGCCAGGCCCTGAGTCGACGATTGGGAGCGAAGTTGAGACATCGAATTGGACGCCAGTTCAGGACAGGAGGAAGACTCGCACCAATCAAATGCGATGAAGGCGCATGGGTGTCATGGGAAGACCTGTTAGGTGATAATGCAGTTTGGGAAGACGGTTATCACTACGGCAACATAGATATCGTGACCAAGAAGGCGCGTTTGGAGAAGTACTTCGACCAGAACTATGAGTGTTTCCGCATAACCAAGAGGGTCAGATTCCAAATGTTGGCGGTCCGCGTTCACCCTGATGAACTCAATGAGCCTGATGACCCGATGGAGAAGGAATGGATTAACGAACTCAAGGACATGGGAATCTCTAAAGGAAGACTCCACCATAGCGATGGATGGTGCTTTCCCGTGGCTGTAAGAGCAACCTCGGCACACTCAACGGACGGCGGAGGTTATGACGTCACCATTGACATCGACCACATTGGGTCGAGAATGACCAACGACATGGCCCTATCTATGATGACTGCATTTCACGCTACCAATCTCGGAGCGCTGACTTCAATCATGCGACGAGGGCTAGTGCCGGGAGGTCTCGGCTCATCGGGAAGGGATTCTATCCACTTCACATGTTTTCCGCCATGGGCCTGGGAGCAGGGCTACAAGGGTAAACCTTGGCTGGGTCGTAAGGTCGCATTGAGTGATCGCCCAGTGGTTCTCTACATTCCGGTGTGGAAGCTGCAGGAGTACGGACTTCTCATCTCAGCGAGTGGCTCTCTATTGGTTGAGAACGTCGTTCCCTTCGATGAGGTTAAAGGGGCATGGTTGCAATGCGACAATTTCAATGCGGAACCCGGACAGCCTGAGGAGATCGAATGGATCCGGTTACTCAATGGGGAACCCGACCCTGGAAGCTACCTTGTTCTGGAGTCCAAATACGGAAACCCGATCATGATTCCACGCTTTCAAAAGCTTGAGAGTTTAGCGGTTGAGGTTCAGGACGATACCTACTCCGAGGACGACGCCAAAATCTCAAAGCTGTTGGGTACGATCGAGGAGAGTGGTGTTTACCCAGAATATGATAGCACCGAGTGGCAGGAACTCTTCGAGGAGATCGTGTACCGCCGAGCGATGAAAGACTATGACTCAAGACCGTGTCCTAACTGTCTTGGCGAAGTCGATGTGCGATTGACGATATGTCCGCACTGCGTAGCGGTTTTGATCGCGAATGGAAAGCTCACACATGTGGTACCCAAGGAGACAAGGGACCGCAATCAACGATCACCACCGAAAGATGTCCCAGCCAGTTCTTCCGGTGAAACAACTTCTGCTGCAGGTGCAAACATCGATGAAGTCATCAAGAACGCACGCAAGACAGCCGAAGAGGTCATTGAGATCGAGGAATCCGAAGGAGAGGAAGAGGAGGAAGTTCCTATCATTTTGAAGGAACGACCGGACGAAACTGAAGGCGAACCCGAGTATCGGGAGGTCCCTCAAGATGGATACGGGAATGAACTTCCGAAGCCTTTCCCCTTCGCAATTGACGAATTGCCGCAAGAAGCTGCGATCCCCATCGACCACAACTTTGCCGTCACACAGCAATTTGATCTGAGGTTGATGAAGTTGATCAAGGGCTTGGCCAACGCAATGTTCGACATCAACTGCTTTGAGAGTCGTGAAGATGTACTGCGAATGTTCGACGATGGACAGCGGCATGACACTCCGCACAATAGATGGCCAATAGTACCGAAAGATCCGGATACTGGGTTTCCAAGACGTCTCAAGAGAGCCGAGGTCGTAGGTATGAGCAGATGGACCGACGACGTGTTGGCAGCAGAAGCGTGGCAGATCTATGAATTCCACGCCAATGTTGTTCATCCGATGATGATCACTGCAATCCGCTGCGGGCTTAGCCACAAGTACCTCAAAGAGGTCGGCAGCACTCAGCGCAGCATGAGTGATCCAAAGGCTCGAAAGTCTGAGACCCAGGATGAGATCATCGAGAAATTGGCATTCATCTCAAATTTCATCAGACGCATGATCAAGAAGACCTTCGGAGCGAGCCGATATAGTTACTACCAGAAACCAGATGACGAAAGTGCCGCTCCATACAAATTCATCGACATTAGTCCCGCCATCAAATCGGAGAGGAAGAATGTCACGAAGGAGATCCTCGTTGCATGCCGCTACTATGGCATAGAGGTATCCGATATCCAAGAAAGGAAATTGAAGTCCTTCGAGGAGCAGATCCGAGCGGGAAATCCAAGGAACGTTGAGCTCATCAAGGACTACATTGGCTTTGTCGGCGCTGACTACATGCGACAACTCACGAATGGTTGAACATTGGGGTCATACCGACATGCTACTTCCGGTACTTCAAGTACTGAGGGATCGCGGGTAATTCATGATGACCGTTTTGGCATCATGGGAGCGAGATAGGATTGTGTCTCACACCGTTGGTAATCGCATGATACCATAGGTAGGTGCACGTTTTCCGCTTGTAGCTCCATTGCCTGTTTGATCCAACTTTCAAGCGAATGCAAGATCTTTTGCTAATTCAATTCAATAGGACATACTGGTTGACCTCCAATACACTTTTGAGAACGTGATTCGTTCTCCGGTTTTTACATCCACTCATCTCCCTTCCCCGTCGAAGTACGGATGTGGGGGGTGTCAATAGGGATGGGGTCCCAGTATAGTCGCTATACAGGTACATGCCATATACTTTTGGCTCAAGTGCCCAACCAGGTAAAAAGGAGCTTTAGCGCGCGAGCTTCATGTTGACCTAAGAGCTAGAACGGGGCCAGGGCACACCTTTCCATCCGTTCGCAGAAATTGTTGTTTTCTTTTCAACTTTAGGAGGTTTTGTGTTCACACATGCCATGCACACACTCGTGCTAGCCAGATGCTGGTCTTGACTTCCCTTTTCTGGAGACATGTTTCCTTCCGTATCCAGGAAGAGTTGGTGCTGGCTGATTGGTTGGACAACAACGTGGTCATTTCGACGAAGGTGATGTGCAGCGCAAACCTCACCGCTGTGCACCAGCCTCCTGATGTCAAAGAAAAAGCCAAGTGGAGAAGCCCGACGGATTGCGAGCCCATCACGGCCAGGGATTTTGCCAAGCACCATTACATCAAGTGCCTCCTCGGATACCCGAATTCTGCGTCAGATGGTGCATATCTCAATGCACGCGCGTGTCTTGTAGGAAATCATGTAGGACACTTTACTGATTGCCCCTATTCACCAAATGTCCACTTTTGAGGCTCGAGCAGCGGCCAAATCACCAAATGCACAGTTTTGAGGCTCGAGCAGCGGCCAAATCACCGGCTCGAGCAGCGGCCAAATCACCAAATGCACAGTTTTGAGGCTCGAGCAGCGGCCAAATCACCGGCTCGAGCAGCGGCCAAATCACCAAATGCACAGTTTTGAGGCTCGAGCACGCAGCGGCAAAAGGGACGCAGCGGTTTTTGGTCTTCAGACCTTTTCAGTCCACAAAGTACTTGGTTGACTGTTTCGATTGGACAGCCTGGCCATGTGTGTCACTCACGGCAGAACCCACTTTGAGCCCTTTTTGGGACTACGCTCTTCGAACTTGTCTGGCAGATTTGTGCTATCATGTGTTAGATCTATATATGCCTAGTACCCATTTGACCTCCGTGTTGCTCGGAAGTTTGGCCAATTTTTGCATTCTTGATCCTACCAGAGAACGGGGTCACTCAGTGGCACTAGGTGCATGCATGGCCATGCAGGGCCGCCCCATGCCTCAGGAGGCGGACGGGAATTACCTCTTTGTCACCCAGGCGGATGGGTTTCTTCAGACCAACCTCCGCGCGCGTCTTCCGTCACGAGGGAAGCGCCGAGCCACGCAGGGAAGCGCCGAGTCACGCAGGGGGGGCGGGTCACGGGGAGGCGCATGTTGTTGGGTTGTTTCATCAGGGTATCTGAATCTGTATCTGATTGTCTCTTGGCAGGTCTAATTACTTGATTATATAATCTTAAATATACTCAGAACTAATTTCGAGGCAGCCTTGAGGGCGATGACATGTCATGACCTTCGAACTCATGGAAGGCCACGCACTGGGAAGTCTTACCCCAATGTTCAGCCGAAGAAACACATAAAACCCACCATCACATCGAACAGGGTCTGAGTCCGGCCCTACCGTGACTAGCTGCGGACGCTTACAGTTCCTACCGTCACTAGCTGCGGACGCTTGCTGGGTGCTTTTTCTGGTCGATCTCTAGGGGGTGAGCGCCCTTGACACCTTTTTTCTCGGAGGGAAGGCGCATGACTGGGGTGGGGGTGTGCGTGACACCCAATGGAAGTTTCTTATTGGAGAGTAACCATAGAGATCTTGAAGCATCTTGAAGCCCCACGCTGCTCCCCAAGTCACTGAAGTGGAAAGACCACTGAAATGGAATGACCAAGTCATTGAAGTTTCTCAAAAAGGGAGCGATAACTATTTGTGTGAGATTTTGAAGCCCCGCTGCTCCCCAAGTCACGTTCTGAAATGGAGAGGATCCCACGACCCACCTCGTGAGGCCTGCACCAAGCCGCCAGCCAAGCCCCAGAGCGTGGACGAGGCGCTCGAGCGCTCTCTGCGCAGCAGAGGACGCCATGTGGGTCGTCATGAAAGACATGGAAGCACCGGGGGGTTGAGTGGTGTCAGGGTGCTTTTGGAGATATGTAGGTCTTGGGGACAACATGGTGTGTGACCAGGTCGCTGAGTGTCGAAGACCAGGTCGCCTTTGGAGACAAGGCCCAAGGCTTTGGTGACACGTGTGCTGCAAGTGTGCAGTGGTTGACGGAAGGTTTGACACTGGGCCGGAAGGTTGATCAGTGTCATTTTGGCCCATCCTTCCCTTCCTCACAGAGGAAGAATCACCGAAGCATTATCATGCATCATGCAGGTGAATTGTTATTTCGAGGGGGGGTTCCATCCATGGCTTCCCTTCTTCCAAATTCTAAGGCCCTAATAAAAGGTAAACCCACGCTCCATCCTCACTGAGTGGGAGATTGAACCTTTGAACTTCCTGCAATCCACCTGCTTTTGACTCATCATCCCTGCAATCCACCTAGCAGCCCTGCTAGGTCTTGGGTGGCGTCTACATTCTCGCGTGCGTCACCTGGTTACCCGATCATTTCCAAAAGCTCATCGACACCGACACCCTGCGCCTCGGCGGAGACCGTGGCCGTCGTTCGACCAGAGACCGCAGTCTGACGTCAGGAGAGACCGAGGAATGAGCGCTTTTGACGTGAGGAGTTGGAAAAGGAAGATGAAAAGGGTGAGACTCTTGGATTCTTCGTATTCTTGGACACAATTCTGATGGATTCTGATGGTATATCTATAGCATCTATGATTATGCGTCTATTATGCAATCATAAATAATCAATACCAGGGCCCCCTACAGTAAGGGGTGTCCAATGATAGCTCCATTCAGGTGATTCGGGATGTCCATGAAAACCATGGGGTCCTGGTAATAAGACTCTGATTCTCCGACTCTTGGATTTCTATAGGCGCGGGTAAGGGTCTTAGCTCAGAGGTGGCTTCAACTGGTTTAGCCAAGGAACATGCAACCCGCAGGAAAAGCTCAACTAGTTTTAGTTTTAGTACTGGTTCTAGTCAGAGCTCAACTGGTTTTAGTGTTAGTACTCGGGAGGTGGCTTCAACCCCCAGGAGTTACAGAGCTCGCAGTGCTTCTTCGTCTTGGCCCGTGGATAATCGATGTGGATGGGCAAACCTTCGGACGTTCATCCTTTTGACACGATGAAACACGATGAAACAGTGTGTCTCCTCCAAAGAATCTCCCGTTGCTTCGGATCCCGCACACCTCAACGCCTCCACGTCCACGTCCGCCACGTCCACGTCCGCCCGAGGACCATGGACCAGGTGGGCACCTTCTGCGGCTCCGTGGGGGGCGTCTGCGGCTGGTCCTGCGGCGCCACGATCAGCGCCGCGCGGCTCCCGGGCTGCGGCAGCGACAACCGCCGCTCGGCGAGAGAGAAGCCGCGGGAGGACCGCGGAGAGTGGAGTGGATGGAGAGTGGATGGAGACCGGAGAGGGGGGTACACCCCTCCTCTTCTCCCGCAGGGCGCCTTCGGGGTTCGTTTTCGGGACATCTTCGGGGTTAGTTCAGGGTTCAGGTTCTTTTCTTGGGCGCGGTGCTGAGTTTGGTTGCTGCGTTCTTTGTTTTTTTCTAGGAGGGAGGCGACTTCAAGAGGGCGATGGTCGAAATGGTAGAGGTGGATGGAGGAATGCCAGCAGGGGAGATATAGCGAGTGATATACACACCCACACCCTCATATATACCACTGGATGGCTATTGTAGATAGCAATTCTTTTGTTTTGCCTCAGACATTTCCCAAATTCCCCACTGCGGATGCTTCGTCTTTTGCCTGGCACTTCTCCGGTCCCTCCACCTCCAGCCGTCGCCGCCATATGACCATTCCGCGCAGCGCAGTGATCCGCATGGCCGAGGCATCGACGTGACGTCCAACAGCGTGGCAGGGCTTCATACCACGGCGGACTTCCAGGGCACCATCGACCTGCAGGTCCGCTTTCGACGCCTCGGCCGTCAGCCGGGCGATCCTCGGAACGACTTCGGGGCAGCGAGCGGGTCAGACAGGTCGATATTGGAGGGGCGCCCAGGGTCGGCCTGGACTGATATCTGGAGCCTCTTTGACAGTGGTAACTATCACAATATGACGGACTACTACAGCTATCATCACTATCTACTATCTACCAGCACCCTCCAATAGGTCTGCTCTGGAGGCTTTTGCTGACTTAAAAGTCGCAGGTGGTGACCTGTTGGAGTGTGCTGGTACTACTTGTGTTTTGGTGGCACGATGAGTCATAGGAAGTCCTGGCAAGGTGGTATAGGTGGACTAAGGATGGTCTCATGGGTTTGACAATGGTCTCATACCAGGGCCCCCTGTTTGGAGTGGTTTTCATGGACATCCATCTCTTAACCTCGATCAGGACCTATAATTGGACACCCCCTGACTGGAGCGGGGGGGCCGTAGGTCTCAAGCAGAGTTCTGAGTTGGGTGGCCGGCGGGGACGACCTGTCCGCAGGAGTGCATGGAGGGTGCCGATGAAGACGGAGGGTGCATGACATCGCCCAATGCCTTTCAGCACTGGAACTGTCGGGGGCCCTGGTAGAGAACATGTCCTTTCCTGCTTACCAGCGAGCCGCTGAAGCGAGCGGCTCGCTGGCCTGGAATGGTGCCGGTGGACCCTTTTTGGTTCCGCTTGTTAGGGTGCGTTCTGACGGGGTGCGGCATGTAGGCGGCCTTTTTGGACCAAGGGAGGAGTTCAATCAGAGGCGGCGCAAACAGGGCAGATCAGGGCAGCCGTGGCCGGATTTCTTGGAAACCGAAGACCACCTGAGAGAGGTGGACTATGTTTGTGCCTGCACCGGATCTGCACAGGTGGGGAGGTCTCCAACTCTCTCCATGCCGGGTGAAGCCTGGGCTCCGACCAGGACCCACGTGCTGGTGGTTGATGGACACCCCGAAACACCTCGATTTTCGGGGCTATCAATGGAAGCCCCGGACCGTCCGGGTGTCCCGGATTGTCCTGGTATTTACGGTACGTATTTTTTTATCATGCATGCATTCATTAAGCACCATGAAGCATCATGAAGCCTGTTCACGTTCACCGCAGTGGATCCGAACGGGAACCTGCACGGAGCGGCAGTCGTCCGAGCCACGAACTGAGGTCCGCAGTGCAAGTACGACCCCAACCCCGTGGGCAGCGACATGGACATCAGCTTGGACGAAGAAGCCAGTCCCACACGCCCGGCGTGCCCAGGGGTACTGGACTTCTGTCGTTGTGTTTTCGTGGGTGCCTTCTGTGATGCCGAAGCGTTTAAAGAACAACCAACAGAGCTTGAAGGACCCGATACTATAGCCTATCCCAGTTCGGTACTCCGAACGACAGGTCCCAGTTCAGGTCACTTATATAACCTCTCTTGGAAGATGTGGGGTCCCGAAGAGGCGGAAGGTCTTGGTTGGAAGAGACTTCCCCTAGAAGTCCAGTTCGACTATATTTTGACCAACTGAAGTAAAGCATATATTCTTTTTCGGCTCACCTAGAGACCATTCTTTTGATAGTCTTTGACTCCATCGGACCGATGACCCCATCGGAGCCTCCCTCGGCGCATGTGGGGGGTGCGGCTCGGCTCGTGCCTATCCAGTCGGAGAGCATCCCAACTCCCGAACTTCAGTGGCTTGATCGTACACCACGGGTCCACCAAGAGAGGTTATATAAGTGACCTGAGCTGGGACCGGTCACCTGGGGTACCGAACTGGGATAGGCTATAGTATAGATAGTATAGGGTCCTTCAACCTCTGGCAGTGCGAGAACTGTCCAGAACCTCTTCAGCCACGCCCCGCTACACCCGCAGGTGAAAGCCATGTGACAGCACAGACCCCCCGCGGTCGCAACGGTGTCACCATGGCTGGAGGACCATTTACGGCACAGTTTCGGGGGGCGGCAACTTTTTTCTCGTTGCCACGGCAAAGCCATACGAGCACCCGACTTCACAGGTCACCACCTGCGACTTTGAAGTCAGCAAAAGCCTCCATTTCGGAGACCTGTTAAAGGGTGCTGGTATAGATAATGATTTGTTCCAGGACACCCGGAAGGTCCGGGGCTTCCATATAGCCCCTTTTTAGAGGTTTTTGGGGGTGTCCATCAACCACCCCCAAATGGGTCCCGGAACATGACCGGCCACCACCACCCAGCTCTGTCGTTGATCCTTTGGGCTTCGACGCATGGCTCGTCACGCGCGAAGCTCTCGCCGCGAGGCGCGCGCCGCGCCGCCGCGCCGCCCGCGCGCCGCTCGTGCGAGGCACCGGGGCCCGGGTCCGAGGCATTTACACCTCCCTGCCGAGGATGAAAGTCACCCTCCGAGGCGCGGTGCTGGCGGTGGCTGTGTCCCAGGGGTGGAAGGCTTCGGGCGGGCGACCGGGATGGATGGATGGAGCTGCGTGGGCGTTTCCAAGTCGGGATCACGGCCAGGACCCACGCGCTTGGGGGTGGTTGATGGACACCCCGAAACACCTCTATTTTCGGGGCTATCAATGGAAGCCCCGGATTGTCCGGGTGTCCTGGTAGTGCCACTATATAAGTCTATATATTACCTTGTTGCACTTTCCTTTGCCTTTGGCATCCTTTGGCCTTTGGGATGCCCAACCCGAATTGTGCACTTTAAGCTGGGCAAAGGATGCCAAATGCCCAATAGCCAATAGCCAATGCCAAAGGCCCAAAGGATCCATTGTGCACTTAAGCTGGGATTCCTTTGCTAGCACTTATAGCTGATGGGATCTCTAAATCCTTTGACCTCAAAGACCCCTGATGAGCACGAGAAGTGTCCTTTTCCTTTAAGAGAAAGAACTGATCCAGTTCGTCAGTTCTCTAGAACCTGGAAAGAAGATGAAAGAAGAAGGCATTGCCAAAAGCACAGGGACCCCCCACCCAACCACTGGTGTGCAGATGAAGAGGTCTTGTTACGGGGTGCTTCCTGACGCTTCAGCTCCAGAAGCCTAAAAGCCACAGGAGCTTCCACATGAGCAGCGTTCTAAATTCACCTTATTTTTTAGTCAGGGACCGGCGAAACATCAGTTATATAAAAACAGTGATTTTAGCTGTTGTTTGTAAGGTGTCCGTAATAGCCGTAAGGATGTGCAGATTTTAACGGTGCCGTAAGGCTAAAAGGCTAACGGAAGCGGAACTTGTTTACTTTGATTCTGTTTCCTTTCCTGTCTTGCAACAACATACCACATGTGACCACAGTCAGTGGACTTGCATACCTCCGCCGTAAGCGACGTAAGAATCGCCATGCGTATAATTACATGTGTCACCGTAAGCAAAACAGAGAAAAACGTAAGCCTTGCGTAAGGCCTACCGTAAGGTTTTTTTTTTTTTTTTTTAATTTCTCGGCAAGAAAAGACAACACAATTTTGAACACCGCTCACATGCTACCGCATGACTTCCACATGCCACCTTCTAAAGCCTGCACCGCCAGGCGCCCAGAGTCCCAAAGCCTCGAACCTCTTCAACCAGCCGCGCGTGGTGATGTTGCGCTCCTCCGCCCGGGCGGCCCGGGTTGGAGGGGGGGCGGGTCGCGGCAAAACGGGTCTGTTCGGGGTTGGAGGGGGCGGGTCGCGGCGTCGTGGCGTTTGGATTGGTTTTTGGTTTCGCGGGAGAGGTTTTTCAACCGGCCCATCACTGAGAGTCTTCGAACAGCAAAACTGTGGCGACGTCCTGGAGCTGTGAGTGGAGGTCAGACAGGCAGACTTGGAAGGACAGATATTCGACTTGCACAGCGACTTGCGTCTGCAAGAGCAAGACTTATGCACACATATATACGCAACGTGACACTCATCTCACTCATCTCCTTATGTGGGGGATCTTGGCTACTTTGGCTCTCTCCTCCATTGCAGCGATCAATGCTTCTGTTTTGATTTTGGGCTTCGCGCCCCTTGGCTTCGCTGCGTAGCAAGCCTGGGGTCGATGATTTTGTCTCTTATCAAACTATGTGCCGGGCCTTTGCCCTTATATGGTTAGATACTCAGAGTTCAGGAGTCACGTGGACTCAGACGGGGTGCCGGTTCCGAAGGTTCGGAAGAGGATAGGTCCAGGTGCCCGGTGCCCTTGTCACATCCACAGCCCCTGGATGGGACCAGAAAGTATTCCGAGCTCTTTGACTCCTGGGGACTTGTCTTTACTTCCGAACATCGAAGCCCCCAACAGTCAGTGACAGGTCAAGCAACAAGTCTTTGCACACGCGGGCTTATGCCCATACATACCCTATTTTTTAAGATCATAAACAGTTTTTTTAAAAGGACATCCTTGGATTATTTAGCAAACAAACACATAAACCCAGTTCATAAATTATAAACGTTTCAAAACAAAAAAACTGGTAAACAATTAGTCCTTGAAATCAGACCTCTGGCTCGTGCAGCTCGCCATAGGTCTGACGGGAAGGATACTTAGACCGACCCAGACTCATTGCAATGACTTGGCTTCGTCGTGCTGTCGTCAGCTGCGATCAGGTCGCGGAGACGGGCGTGTGGAAGAAACTCTACATGAAGGACCGCGCATGGCCAGGGGGTTCTTAGCTCGCGTGAGCGGGCTGTATCGAAAGTTAACTCTTTGCTTTTAGCATTGGTTGGGGGATGGAATCTCCCTGAATTATCCACTGCTAGACCGCCCCCCTTCGTAGGTTCAAATAGTTCCTCTCTTGGACTTGGACGTGTCTGATTTGGGAGCATAATGGTTCTGATAGCATCCGTTTTGGGACTATTCTGTTTCACATCATGCTGCGCATACCCTATCCGTTGAAAAAGACCATGTGATTAGATGCAGCTAGCTTTCAACCCCCTCAAGTAGTCAATTAATTGAATTGTCCCACCCTCATTGACAGCACCACAGCTCCGCAAGAGTCCCATGCTGACATATGGGCCATGTGCAATGCTCCTCAGGACGAAACCCATCGAGTAGAAGTAAGAACAACAAGCCACAAACCCACAAGCGCCAGGACACCGGGAAGTTTGAGCTGCCAGTCTTGGTCGCCGCTCGATCTGACGAGATTTGGGTCAGATCAGGTGCCCCTCGAACCAGCCGGTCCCAGCAGGTCAGATCAACTCCGCCGGGCGTCGGAGGAAGGGGTTTTGACGTCGTGCAGATCCTGAGGTCCCGAGGTCCTCCACCCCGCCGAATCCTGGTGCAGGAGGGTTCCTGTGGGGCGGTTCGTCAACTGGGTTCAGTGGTGCGCACTCCACGATCTTGAAGCGTTGACTGACATGTCGAATGTAATTAAATATAACATGACACAGTATAGCTAACTTTAAAACAAAAAACATGAAAACATTTGACATTTGCTGAAGGTGATTGAACATATTTCATATTCTTACATGCCTATGTCAGTTGGCTGTTGGAAGATCCCTTTCGTCAAAACACAGCATACCTACGAATCTTGGGCAAATAGCTACCCCTAGTGCTCCACAGACCTTCTCAGAGGGTACTTACTTGGACCCACCTACATCACAGTGTCTCCTTCCTCACCGTACCTGACCAGGTACCACTGGATCCCGCAAAAAGGGATGTGTTGCAGCCACACAGAAGTACGACTGGATCCCTGTAGGGTTTTTATAGGTCTTCCAGGTGTTTCCTCTGTGGCTTCCTTCGGCTTCGCCCAGCCCAGGATGCTCCCACTAAAGACCCGGATGCCGAGTCCGACGAGGCGCGCAAGCCGGGCGTTGTTGTTTCACGCGCGGAAGCGCGGGCAACAGGACGTGTGGTGCGAGCGGAGGTCGGGTCGAAGGCAGGGGATTGGTGTGGAATTGAGGGCATTTAGTGATGGTGTTTTTCTTTTGAGGGGACAAGATGGGACAAGTGTAGGGTGTAGGGGGTGACCTGTCAAGATCTAGTAATCACTGTATGTGTTTTTCTTTTGAGGGGACAAGTGAATGGCCTTAATTGGGTTTTGCATGCTTTTGCCTGTGGCGTGAATCTGTGTGAAGCCTCTTTTTGGGGAACTCGAGACTGTCCGCAGAACGCGTACTCAACCAGACCCTTAGTCCTTTGGTTTTAGAAGGGATTTCTGACTTAACCACTCAAGGTTAAACCCTTAGCAAAGGACAGGCCTGGACAGCCCAGGGAATACTTGTTGATTGTTCTATACATATGCTGTATATATATATATATATCCATACATGGGTTGGATTCTTAAATAGGGAGAGAGCGTTTTTCCTATGTTTTGTCTTCTTCTGCGTTCCGTCCACAAGGTCGGAACGCCGTCCAGGTCGCCCTATATGCTCATGTTCCCGTGGTCTTCGGCGTCCTTTCCGTTCGGACCCGTTGCTGCTCTATCAAAATCGTCAGGAGGGCTCCACAGTCTTCGACGCCTATACCAAGCAGGCGGATGCGTCGCGTGAAGACATGATCCAATCAGGGTGTGGCTCAAACACATGTCTATACCCTACACTTCCAACCACCATTAATTTAATAGGCGTTACCAAATCAACTAAGGATTTTAGACTACAAAAACCAGGTCAACCATGTTTTTAATGGTCTTGGAAGTCTAGGGTATAGGTGTTTTTTGACAGGCGAATTGAAGAACCTGAAGCCCTTGATCCATGGGAGCCCCCTTGATCCGGTCGTACGAGGATGGGTTTCGATCGGCCTTGTCGTCCGGTGTTGACCGAAAAGTGTCCCGGGTGGCCTACGCTTCGACGCACATCCATGGGGTTTGTCACTGCAACAAAACGTCGCATGTCTGTGTGGCTGCAACACATCCGTATTTAGGGATCCAAGTACCTTGTCAGGTACGGTGATTGGAGACACTGTTATGTTTGTGCTTCGTACTGTTTGCTTTTCGATGGCGGTGGGGAACTTAGTGGAGTTCTCCAGCAGAGACCGCGTTTGCCTGTTTCAAGCGGGTGGTTCCTCAAAGCAATGTTCTCAAGAGGCCCATGTTCTGTGAACAATACATATAGTCGTTGCATGTCGTTGTGTTTTCTTGCATCAGATTCCCTTGGCACGGGAGTCAACCCCATGGCCGTCCGAAAAGAAGCCGCCGGATGGAGGGTGCTTTGTTTCGATTTATCCCCAAACAGTCCAGAACGGATTGTAAGCCATTTCGACCTGCACTGATTGGTGTCGCGATCGTCCGAACGAATGAACATAGGGTGCTTCTCAAACCACCGATGAGTTTGTACTATCAGATGGTACCCCCCACACAGAGCACCTAGCAGAGCACCATACAGACAGGGGAGATGTTAGAAGGGCATGGCCCGAGATGGATCCTCTCAAGGATGGGATGAAGGACTTTGGGTCTGTCCCATTACCTCTATATAGAGCCGTTGGGTCTGTCGGGTCGTAAATCACTATTTGAGAGATGGAAAGGCCTACAAACCAAAGGCCAAATCATCCACTGGGCCCTAACGTAATATAGGATATACCGATATACCCAACATTTGTATACCTCATGCACCAGCAGACTTCAAGGCTCTTCGGGTATAGAACATGATCTCCTTCTACATAGGGGCGGATGGAAAAACGGTGGCCGAAGACCTTGTTTGAGAAGGGAGCGCACTTCAACGTGCGACCCTTTGGACCAATGACCAATCCCTATAGAAGTCCAGTCCGACCCACTTAGACCTGGTCTTTGACCTCCATCTCCAGTACTTGCTTTTGTAGGAGCATCTCCAGTAAGGCCCAGGTCAAGCTGACTGACGACTTAGTAGGGGCAAATGCACCGTGCTCTCCGTCGCTGGCCGGCCGGTCCCATCCCAGACCAACAGCCGGCCGGCCGGTCCCGGCCGGTCCCCCCGACCGACCGCGGCTCGGAGGCGATGATCCTGCGGCAGCCGAGCCGCTTGGCGATGCAGCCGGACTGGTGCTTCGGGCCTCGAGGCGCACGGGCGAGTGAAGCGAGTGACGCGAGGCGAAGCGGCGTGGCGGACGGCGAAGCGGTGCGTCGTTCTTGACGGACTTCGGCGACCCCCCCCAAAAAGGAAGGCTTGGGTG